TTTGCCGTTTCACCACGATAGGCTTCGGCATGCACTCGGTGACTCTGTGGCGGTGGTTGATACATCTTGCAGATAAAAAAAAAACAAAAGAAAGAAATGCATGTATTTCTTCTATCTCTTGAGAAATACCTCTGCATTGCAGTGGGTTACACGCATGGCTTCACGCATTTCTTTCTTTTTGAGTTGCACTCTCAGCTCCCCCAACAGCACTCGTACACTCTACACGTGGAGACAGTATCCCAAGGAAAGAAGAGGGAATTGACATCACCGCAAACAGTGCAGAGATGCTTTCGGAAAAGACGGAGAAATGCATGCAAATCCTTTCCTTCACAGCGCGCTTCTCATTCTCTTCGTTTCGCGCGCACTTTCAAAAAAAAAAAAAAAAAAAAANAAAAAAAAAAAAAAAAAAAAAGAGAGAGGCTGGTAACCCAGCCGTGAGGAAGCGCCTGTCACCCCTCACCACGTGTAGTAACATGTGGCAGGCCATGGCTGCTGCTGCGGCATGTGGCCGGCAGCAGCAGCAGCACGAATAAGTTTGCATCGAATGATGCCCCCGTTCTTTGAGCCTTGCTACTCTACTTTTACTTTATTATTATTTGTTGGGGGATACAGCCCCCCTCGAGCTCGCTTTCTCACCGCTCCATCCATATCTTGTTAGAAAGCCATGCATGCGCGAGGACGCGCGCTGCTTGGCGGGGAGAGGAGAACAGAAGCAGCACGGTTTGTCTGAAGTGTGTTGTTCCGCGTGCTTCTGCATGCATGCGTGCTGGGTATAGAGGTACAAATAAGTGTTGTTCACAGCTGTAGTGTACAGACCACAAAGAGTTCGTGATGCATGCACCAGCAGGGGCAGCCATAACCGGCCGCCGAATATCTTCATACCAGCCCCACCCCGTCGTGCTGCTGTTGCCTGGAAGCCTGGAGACTGGTAGGGGAGATGAGCTGCTCCTGCGGAGTTTTTATTTTAACTCATTTGACGTCAATACAGCTCACAAACATCTCTGCTAAGCTTGAAGACTCTGGGTATATCTGGGAGCACTTTTGTGGTGTACATGGAGCCTGTGGTCCCCGGCTGAGAGTGAAGAGCATCGTTCTCTTTATGGTGCTCCAATTTGGTTATCTATAAGAGCGGCTTTGTTTGTTTTTCCCTCGGAGTACTGTTGCTTCTGAATGGCCAGAGAAGGAAATGTTGAGAGGGTAGAAAGCATAGAAGCACCCAACCAGGCTGCATCTTTCCGGCCGCTCGCGAACACNTCTGCTTTTACTCGGTCCCCCAACCCGCGCAAGAGAGATCCGCCTCTGCAGAAAACAATTTGGTTGTTGAGCGCTGCCTGCAACGGGGTGTCTATACACCTCAACGCCGATGTAATCAACAGCGGGAGAGTAGCCTCAGCCAACACCTGTGCCTTCAGAGCTGGACTGCAGTCTAAAGAAGGTCTTTCATCTCCCAAGCATTCACCCCCAAAATAAACCTCACAAGGGCGGCTTCGCTCATCAGGCCCCAGCTGTACAGACACCACAAAACCAAGAAAGCAAAAACTAAGAAAGGAGACAAAAACAGATAGCGTTAGGGAAGCAAGGAGATAAAGTGAGAGACAGGAGATACAAAGGTAGACGCAAGAGGAGACAGAGAACTGAGACAAACCACGGAAATTACTTACCTCTACTATCGTTCCGTCCGGGAGTTCGAGTGCTGGTGCTGTTTGCATCTGTTCGCTGCAGCTGACATCTGCTGAGCAGTTAGGCTTTACATACAGCATATTTTCTTTTGCAGTTTCTACAACAGCAGCAGATAGTAAACCCCCTTTTAT